AAGTGGAATTAAGCATGAGCAGAAGTGTGCCAGCTGATGGGAGAAGGAGAACACATGAAACTTGAGAAACAGTAAGGAGTTCCTTGAAGAGTAGGGTGGGTACAACAAACATAAGTAGGAAAGCTAGAAAATTGGGGTGAGCACAAATCAGGCAGCCTTGAGTGCTACACCAAAGAATCAGACCTTCTTTGGGCCAGAGCTTCCCAAGAAGTGTGCCTGAAAATCAATTCCTTCAGGCTTGAAGGTGGCCAGGAGAGATACTGTCGGGTCTTAGGGTAGGTGTGAGTTTGATTTGGATAACAAACTGCTAGTTTTCGAATATGGTTGTATCCTTTGCACACCAACTAGCACTGTATGAAAGTTGTGGTTGCTCTAGTTATTGCTACTGTCACTCTTTTAAATGTTAGCCATTTTTGTGAGTGTGTAGTGGTATCTCATTGTGGTTTCCCTGATGACTGGTGATGGCGAGTACCTTTTCTTATGGTTAGTGGCCATAATGGTATCTTAGGAAGTGCCTGTTGAAGGTTTTTACCCAATTTTTATTAGCTTTGTGTCTTTTTAAAATCATTGAGTTGAGGTGTTCTTTATGTAGTCTGGATACAAGTCCTTTGTCAGATACATGTACTGTGATTATTTTCTCTTAGTCTGTTGCTTTCCCAGTGTTCTCTTTTGATGAACATTAGTTTTTAATTTCGATTAAGTTCAATTTATCAATGTTCCTCCTTTAGGAATAGTGCTTTCTGTCTCCTGTCTACCCCAAAGTTGTGAAGATATTCCACTATGTTTTCTTCTGGAAGCACTATAGCTTTAGCTTTTATGTTCAGTTTATTATCTATCGTGAATTAATATTTGTGTATGATGTGAGGTAGGGATGAAGGTTCATGTTTTTTCCTCATGGATCTTAAGCTATTCTAGCACTATTTGCTGAAAAGACTTTCCATTCCTAATTGTGTTCCTTTGGTGCTATAGTCAAAAACCAACTGTCTGTATAGTGTCTATTTCTGGATTTTCTATTTTTTCCATTGATTTATTTATATATCCTTATGTGAGTACCATACTGTCTTGATTACTATAGTTTTAGAATAAGTCTTAAAGCCAGGCAGTGTACGTCCTATACTTATCATCTCCTTTTTCATGACTGCTTTCAGCCATTCTAGGTCCTTTGCATTTCCATTCACATTCTAGAATCAACATGTTGATTTCTACCAAAACAAGTCTGATGGAGTTTTTTTTTTTTAGCTTTTTAAGATTTTATTTTTCCTTTTCCTCCCAAAGTCCTCCGGTACATAGTTGTCTATTTTTAGTTGTGGGTCCTTCTAGTTGTGGCACGTGGGATGCTGCCTCAGCATGGCTTGACAAGCAGTGCCATGTCCGCGCCCAGGACTCGAACCAGCCAAACCCTGGGCCACCGAAGCAGAGCGCGCAAACTTAACCACTCGGCCACAGGGCTGGCCCCTGATGGAATTTTAATTGGATTTTCATTTGATTGACTCAATAGATCAGTGGTTCACAAAGTGTGGCTCTGGACCAGCACCATCAGCAACACCAGGGAACTTGTTTTAAATGCAAATAATCAGGCCTTACTGCAGACCTAGTGCATCAAAAACTCTGAGAATGGGGCACTGCAATCTGCGTTTTAACGAGCCTTCCCGGTGACTCTGATGCACGGTAAAATATAAGAATTACTGCTGTGGATCAATTTGGGAGAACTAACATCTTAGCAATTCTGAATATTCCAATCCATTAACAGACATTTCTGTTAATTTAGGTCTTCTTTAATTTCTCTCACCAACATTGTGTAATTTTAACTCTACACGTCTTATATATATTTTGATTAATTTATATCAGGTATTATATGTTTTTCTGATGCTATTGTAAATGGCATCATAATTGCTACAGGCTAACCTTTAGTCATAGTGTACAGGTCATATGGATGGAAGACTATCTGGAGGTGGGAGTTCACTTAGAGATTTAACAAAAAGTAGAGAGCTCAAATGATTGGTAGCATCTTGAAAACTAACTAGTTTTAACAGGCATGGAAGAATATGAAGTTGTGTCCAATGAATTGATAAAGGCATTAAGCGTAAGCACCTGCAAAGATCACAAAAAGAGGGACAACCAGCCATTGTGATCTTCTATAGTCTTGCCCAACATTTTCTACATTCTTGACAACAAGATCAAACATGAGTATCTAGCTTCTGGATCCAGCTGCCAATTTGGAAGAAAGACAAAGGACAAAGGAACATGCTGAAGTACATGAAGAGCCTAAGATCAGCAAAATCTAGATTATGGCAAACTCTACAGGTCAAATGGGCTGAGTTTTTCTTTTCTTTTTTTTTTTTTAAAGATTGGCACCTGAGATAACAACTGTTGCCAATCTTCTTTGTTTTTTTTTCTGCCTTTTCTCCCCAAATCCCCCCAGTACATAGTTGTATATTCTAGTTTTGGGTGGTTCTAGTTGTGGTATGTGGGGCGCTGCCTCAACGTGGCCTAATAAGAGGTGCCATGTCTGTGCCCAGAATCCCAACTAGCAAAACCCTGGGCCTCCAAAGCTGAGCAAACGAACTTAACCACTTAGCCAAAGGGCCAGCCCCAGGCTGAGTTTTTCAAGAGATAAATTTGTAAGGAAATAAAAGGGATGGAGGAGGAACATATAGATTGAAAGAGATTTAAAACAAATACGAAGTTTTTACAAATTGGTCAAGTCTAAACCATAATGTACATTTGGATGATAAATTACTTAAAAATCTAAGGGAATGATTACTGTAAAAGTCATATTCAGGGTTGCTTTTGTGGGGAGAGAGGAGGTTGTATTGGGATGAGGCACATGATTCTGGAGTAGCTGGCAAGGTTCTACTTCTTGCCCTGGGTGGAATTCACCTTATAATAACCCATTAAGCTATATATTTAATTCTTGTGGTTTCTGTATACATGTGTTACTTTACATTCAATAGGCTTTTTTTTTCACCCTTAATATGACATATCTAGAATTCGAGATTGAAGAGTTTACAAGTTTTAGGTGGTAGTGGCATTTGCTGATGATAAGAACTAAGGTGCGGTTATGGAAATGGTGGTTCACTTGAAGCAGGGACACTAGTGTGAATGAACAGCTAAGACTTGAGAAGACGTTGAAGGGAGAAGACTGTAAGTCTGGTCCTAACCTTTGCATCAGTGTGGGAGAGTAGCCTGGAGGTTGGCAAAGATAAAAGTGCCGAACAGGTAGAGAGAAATATACTTGAATTGCCAAAGGTATCACACCCCCTGGGCCCACAAAAGGGAAGAATATTTTGGAAGTGACTGTGGGAACATAGGAGCAGTTGAACCCACTTTCTTTCTGTGGGTTGTGGGAAAATGATCAAAATTCACTTCAAGGAAAGAAGAGACTCACTACCTTTCAGTTACAAGCAGATTTCAGTTGAAATCTGTGGTAGACAAAGTTCCTAGGAAAATACTAAAGGTGAAGGGTAATTAGCTAACAAAGAAACAGAAATTCCTGAAACACAATGGAAAGAATCAGGAGGGAGGGAAACGGGTGTGTGTGTGTGTGTTGGGAAGGGTACAGAAGAGCATAAAGAACGATAAGATTGATGGTACATTAGAAAAGAGGCAAGAGAGGGCTCCTTTTTAGATACTCAAGAATGTGAGCACCATGGACAGAATGACTTGTCTCAGTGTTCTGACTGAAGCTTGCTTGAAATGCTAGGATTACCTAAAATTTACAGGAGTGGTGCCGTAGGCCTGATAATTGCAGTTGCCTCCATCTAATCACTTTGCATATTAATGTTTCCACGGAAGAAGGCTTTCAAAGTTCTGGGGAGAGAAAAAACACCTTTTGCTTTGAGAATAGTAGCTCTTGCTATGGCCAAGAGAAGGGGAATCAGAAGGGCTCCTCTATCATCCATCCTATACCACATTGACTTTTTTTCCCTTTTATTCCACAGTTCACTGATATTAGAAAGAAGAGTCTGAGAAGAGTAACATAGGGCCAAGCAGGAAGCAACATACAAAGCTAGAAATGGGCTTACATATGGTCACCCAGACCCTGGCCAGACCAACATTGATGGGTCTGTATAGGAGGAATGGAGCAAGTAAAGATACATATGCCAATTTATCAGTCATCATGAGTTCTGCCCTGGAGCACCCCACCTCTCTACAAGCAGGACTGAGTGTTGGAGCCCGCATACGTTGTCATCAGGGTTTGTAGTGGTAAGGGACTAGGGGAGAGAAAAGAGGAGGGAAGTCCTAAATAGTAGAAGAAAAGGAATAGGCAGTATACAAATGAATTTAGAAACTTTCCTTTTATGAAATGCATTTATTTCTTACAAAACAATTTTAGAACACCTTATGCTTTTATTTTAAAACAAAAATTATGAAATAGCCATGTTTTTAAAACACATATATCACAGCATTGCTATGCTTTCTATTCTGCATGCCGCCAAAACTATGTTTTAAAGTTTTAAATAAAAATTCAACTAGTAATTGATGAGTGTTATGTGGCACATACTAATTGTATATTTTAAAGTTTCTTCTGATACTTGACAGAGTTAAATTTATATGAAATTATAAGATTTTAATTTTTATACAAAATTAGGGGCAAAATAAGCACAGCATGATTTGAATAGAGCCAAGAGATTCAGAGTTTCTCAAACTTTTCCACCAAAGAATCCATATCAGAACAGAGAACTCCTAGGGGCCAGGGAAACATCCTGATGCAAGCTGCTGTAAGTCTAAACTTTCTAAAAAGTGTTTTTATTTTGTTTTAAATTTTTATTATTTCATTTTACAATCTATATGAATTTTATGTTATATTCCATAATTCTGGAATTTATTTTATTATAAAAATGTTTTAAATTGTTTTCTATGGAGTAAAATTAACACTTTGGGAAGATGTATCATATTTATTCTGAGGCTTCGTGTATCCCTGGCAGTATAAACATCCACCTGAGAAACACAGCATTATAAACACATGCTATTTGAATATTTTCCTTGTGTATTCTTACCTCCATAGAAGGTGGAGTCTTTCTTGTTCTTCTAATCCAAGCTAGAAAGAAAAAATATTTAAATGTAAGTTTTCTATAATTTGCACAAACATTTTATTCATTCATGCATACAACAAATATTTATTGAGCACCTGTTATATATTGCTTTAAGCACTGGAGATATAAAGGGAACCTAACATGAATTCCCTCCTCTCCTGTAGCATATATTCTAGTGAAGGGGGCACGGAAAAGAAACACACAAGTAGAATGTTAGGTGGCGGTTTGCGTCATAAAAAAAATACAACAGTGTAGGGAGGATAAAGAGGGGACAGTTTCATATCTAAAAGCATAGCTCATAATTGTCTGAATTCGATTTAGTGTATTTATGACACAGGCCAAATCACAATACAGTACACTTCAAGGCAATATCAAAATTACATTATCCTGGAAATTTGGATTAGTTATTGCTCAGTTTATGAAGAAAGGAATGTAAAAAGTTTTCATTTACAGAGATTTCCCTTCTGATCTCCTCTAGCAAGCAGCCTATCTCCTATGGTTAGCTCCAACACTGGGATGATGAGCTGCAGAGTAGAGAGAGCCCACATTTATGTGCCTATTGGGCACTGGGCACTGTGCTAGATGCTTTCTAGCAATAGGAAGGGAGTGGGGCAGCTGCCTCTAGGGAAGTGTATCAGAATCATATGGAAGCTACATAGCATAGTGCTTGGAGAGTAGAGCCAAATTTTCTGGGTTCAAATCCCAACTTCATCACCTACTAGCTGTGTCACTTGGGGCAACTTATTTAATTTTCTAAGCGTCAGATTTCCCATCTGTAAAAGAGAAATTATAAGTGTCTACATTTTAAGGTTATCGTAAAAGTTATATGAAATAATATATATAAATTCTTAGCTCAGAGTCCAGCATCCAGTAAGCATGCAAGTCTAAGTTATTACTATTATTATTATTTAATAAACCCGTATTTTTTATAACAGACAAAACAGCAAAGATCAATAATATCTGCTTGGCCTATGAGGGCATACATAAGAGACTGAGAAAATACATTGTAGGGAATATGGTCTTTAAAAAGCAGAAACCACTGTTTATCACTTTAGTTAATTCAATTTCTTTACAAAATTGTGAGGTGTCCTTATTTTATAAAGAAATTAAATAACTTTCCCAAATTTACACGTTAAAAAGTAATGGCAGGATTTGAATCCAGATCTGACCCTGTCTCTGGCTCCAAAAACCATCCATGCTCTACTAAGCAGTCTCTCAAACTTTAGTAAGCAACAAGCAAAGAACAGTAAACTAGGAAGAAGAACATTAGAACCTTAACTACATGTCAGAAAACAAGAATTATTGACCCCATTTTACAGATTGGGAAACTAAAGTTCAGAAAGATTAACCAAGTTGCCTAAACTCATGTAATCAATTAGTGAGTAACAGACCAGGAATCAAACCCTGGTTGAACTGGCTTTAAAATCTGGGCTTTGTTGGTTCACCAGCCCACCTCCATCAGCTTGCCTTTTGTCATCTAACTAATAGTACGAGGACCTGTCCTCATGAGAAGCCCAGTACTGAATGGTTATGGAGATAAAAATAGCAACAATCAATTGTGGGCCTGGGATTAGTTATTTTTCCCTGCTCTGTTCTCTCCTGCACTTATCCCATATATGTATTTTTAATATAGTCCCAGCATTTTGCCTTTTCTATTCCTGTTTCTGAACTTACCCCTGCTATTCCTTTCTGCATTCTCTTTCTTATTAGCTTCCACTTCCACTCCACCACTATTTGATCCATTTCTAGCCACACTTTGCACAGGTTTCATATTCCTTGTTAGGCTGTAGGGTTGTCAAGGGCAGGATGCATCCATGGGAGATTTATTTTTCTACCACCTAAATGCCTTGAAAGATTAGGTACTTTATACAGCTGTTGAATGAATATTTCCACTATAAAATAATCATACTATAAAAAAATTTGTTGTAATGGGATTTTGACCTGTATTAGAAAAGCTTCACAATGCAAGATTCCTCTGTTAATCAAGGAAATAAGGGTTTACAGAATTTTTCAACTTCCTCTTTATGGTCAAAATAAAAGTTACTTATCTATATTTATGGGATTTTTTTCCTAGGAAAAAGGCTTCTTTTAAAATAATTCAATATGGGCCATATACCTCTAAAAGGTTTTAAGTAGTAAATCTTCAGTTTTAATTCAGATTAGAAAGTTAATTAAGAAAAATGAACTGCTAGGCCAGGAGTCGGCAACCTATAGCCTGAAAGCCGAATTCAGCCCATGGCTTGTTTTCACATTTTTAAATAGTTGGGGAAAAAAATCAAATGAAGAACAGTATTTCATGACACACGAAAATTATATAGAATTCAGCTTTCAGTGTCCATAAATAAGGTTTTATTGGAACACAGCCACAGTTACTCATTTACATATTATCTACGGCTGCTTTTGTGCTACAGTAGCAGAGTTGAGCAGTTGTAACAAAGACTGTATGGCCCACAGAGCCTAAAATATTTAGCACTGGCCCTTTAAAGAAAAAGTTTGCCAACCCCTGTGCCAGGGCTACCATTAAGTATAATCCTTTTAGCAATAACTACATATCTTGATTCAAAAACACCTTCATATTATCTAAATTAAAAATCATTATTAACTATTACATTTTTTACCAATGATTACATGTATTCTAGAGTCTATGAGCACATACTGTGGGCATTAGATCATGCTGAAAAAGCATAATGGCACAATGCACACTTACCATCACCATGAGAAAAACAACTTAAAACAACAATTTGTCTTATTGATGAGTCTATGAAAGAGCATTTTCAGTTCTTTTGTAAGGTTGGAAAAAGAAAAATACTTAATAGGATACAAGTAATTTTTTAAATCCCAAGGTAGATTAATAAGTTGAGGAAACTCTGATATGTGTTTTCTAAAGCTTACTGGTTTTATATAAATTTAAAATTCACTCACAGACGTAAGAATGTAATAAACTCAGATAATGTATTAAGTATCACCTAGACTATTCACTGTTATGGGACACTATTCTCTAAGGAAAAATATGAGGGCTTCCTTTAGCTTTGTTTTAAATGGCTCAAGGAGAAAGATGTTTATCTAGATAGATAAATGCAATTGCTGAAGTAAATTTGTATATTTGTAATTCTACAATAACCAGATACTTGAAATGTCTTCTGGACATGACGGTTGATGGCCATTCACTGTTATATATCCAATAAAGGTTACAGCTGGAAATTCTCAATGGGATCACTCATTTATATAATCACCCCTAGTTTCCCAATCACTACATACCACAAAGGAAATGTCCTGCCAAAGGTTGGCAAAGGTTAGGAGGAGGAAGGAATAGAAATAAGCATTAATATCAAATCATTACATTTCTTTTTTTTTAACCTCAGAACAATCTAGAACTGAACCTCTATCAATTATAAATCATATAATGATTTGGCCATTGCTAATTATATCTGTATGGTGGATTCTGTATCAGTCTTCATTATAATGTAACCATTGTTTGAATAGAATTTAGCAAGATAACTGGACAGTTTATGCCTTAGGATCCTAGCATTCTTTCATCAATGTTCATTTGCATTCTCATCTGTATGCATGAGATTTTCATTGAACTTTAATACTCTTATTGGAACATAACACACTATAATGAGTGTAAAAGTGAGCATGCAAATTAAACTCCCATTAATCACTAAAAGAGACTAAAAGAAGCAGGCAGGAAAAATACTTCATGAAGCATACACTCTTCAAATCTCCACAGGCACTGTAAGTGACTAACACGTTTTTAGAAGCATTGCCAACAGGGGTTAAGGTAAAGGAAACATTTATCACCAGATTCAGAACTAAAATTATGGAAAGGTTATCAACAATCTGCATCCAAAAGATATTATATTAAAAATATATTGTTTATTTAAGGAAAAGACACTGTAATAAAGCTTCATCTTTTAAAAAATGATCTTTGGTAATTCTGAGTGTTGACATATCATAAAGAACTATAAAAATAAGAAATCCACATTTTTTACTGTAAAAATTCTTCATATTACGAAATGAATCATTTTCTGGTTACTGATCCTTAAGTGTATCTTAAGGATATTGTTAGATTTAACTGGCACATTTAAGTTACAAATTTTGTGATGTTATTACTGTTGTTTTTTCTTCATCAGTTTTACAGAGATACAATTTACATACAGTACGGTGAAACCATTGTAAATGTACAATTCCATGAGTTCTGACAAATGTATCCAACCTTGTGACTGGCATCACGATTAGTATATAGAACATTCCCATCACCCCTAAAACTTCCCAAACACCCAACCTAACCCATCCACAGCCCCCACTGAGTAACATACTTTCTGTCACTGTAGATTAGTTTTGCCTTACCTACAATTTCATATAAATGGAATCTTACAGTAAGTACTCTTTTGCATTTAGCTTATTTTACTCAACATAATGTTCTTAAGGGTCATCCATGTTACTCTGTGTAGAGAACAGATTCTTAAGGTAGCCTCCACAACCCTGCCCCTTGGTGTTCACGTCTTTGTATGATCTCTTCCTCCTGAGTGAGGGCAATACCTGTGACTTACTTCTATCTATGAAAATATGGCAAAGGTAATGGGATGTTTGTGACTACACGATTACATAAGATGACAGCATCCATCTTGCTGGAGTCTCTCTCTCCCTTGCTGGCTGTGAGGAAAAAAGTGGCCATGTTGGGGAATCCCATGTGGCAAGACACTGCCAGCGACTTCTAGTAGCTTAGGGTGATCTCAAGCCAACATCAAACAAAATCCTGAAGCTCACAGTCCTACAACTGTAAGGAACCATATGCTGCCAACAACCACACATGTGGGAAGTGGATCCTTCCACATTCGAGCCTCCAGAGGAGAATGCAGCCCTGGCTAATACTTCAATTGCAGCCTTGTGAGACCCTAAGTAGAGAATCCAGCTGGCCTATACTCAGATTCCTGTCCAAAGAAACTGGGAGATGATACATGCGTGTTGTTTTATTTTTATTTTTTTTCTGGGGAAGATTTGC